TAAAATTAGTGCTTTAGAAGTAATCCACCGACGATAAAGGGAAGTGTCAAATAAGAGATCTTGTATAGCATAAGAGAGATGTAATGCCTTGGTAATGAACCTCTGAAGAGTTTAAACCATTTAGCATGACTGGTCTCTTTCTTATGCCTTGACCGACAATTTTTTGTTTGATATAACTCTTAATCAAAAGAAACAAAGAAAGGAGGGAGGTCACAGAGTGCTAATGAAAAGGTGGATGATTACAATGGCATGAAACATGTACATGAAGGCTATAAAAATGAAGAAAAAGGCCATCAACTCAAATGGATTGGAATCTAAATCCTATACACCAAATCCATGAGGACTTACAATAACACAAGTATAATATTCAAAGCATAAACTAAATGAACACAATAAATAGCCCCTAAACCCCAAAAAAATAGTGGCCAAAACCAAAAGAAACAAAGTAGAAAAAAAGCAAAGCAACAAGCTATGGAACAAGGCCTAAGGAAGGGTAGCTAACCCCTCCTCTTTTTTGTGACTTTTCATTCACATTTTTAAGTTTAAAATAGCTCTGAAATCAGTATGAAAAGGTAAAGAATAGAGAGAAAAGATGGTTAAAGAGTTCAAAGATTACCCCTTTAAAGAGAGGATGTTCTTCTTAGTTGACAAACCACAAGCTTAACACTCTCTAAGATCTGAAATTATCTTCAAGAATCTGAGCAAAAGCCTTAAGTCTAAGCTTAGAAGATGTATGTATAGTGTATGCAGATTACAAGAGAAGAGGGAAGTGTGTTGGACAAGTTATGGCTCTTGGAGAATTTTTCTAACCCCAAACCATGAGGGAGGGCCTTGTATTTATAGAAAAATGACATCTCACGTTGAAAACATCAAGAAAGAGACAACTGGTGCAAGGCATGCACATGGGGACTATTGGCTGTTACAAAATATTTGTTGTCGGGAAACATGGCCCGTCGACCATGAATAAGCACGGCCAGCCACTTGAAAATGGCTTGCTGGCCACTTGTTAGCCAGCTCTTTTCTGAGTGGTTAGGCTAGAAAAAAATAAGGTTTTAGTTTAAAGGGGGTACAAGGTTTAGGTTTTAAAGCTTGAAATCATAGCATGTTGCTGAAGAAATCGAACGATTGCATAACATTACATTTTATCATCGAGTGTTAAGAATGAGGTGCCCAAGTCTTAAGGGCAGCAAAAAATGGGGTGTCCACACCCATTTGAACCCTTCGGTGTGACTGCCTTGATGACATCTATACCCCAGACTGAGAAAGGCCAAGGCGAAGTCATGTTATAGAGTTTTGATGGCATGATATTCATGCGATTGGCGTGGATTTGACATTTGTGGCATCACCTAACAAAGTTGATACAATCACTCTCTATGGTTAACTAGTAGTATCCCTGTCTAAGGATCTTTTTGGCTAACATGATACCGTTTATATGGGCTCCACACTCTTATCCATGGATGGCTTCTATGATACACTTTACCTCTTCTTCCTCTACACACAGCTTGTGTATTCTCAGATGCCCTCTTTTGTATAGCTTATCTCCGTAGATGATGAATTGAGCACCCAGGCACTATATCCCCTTTTTGTCCTTGGCATTTTCCCTTTGCGAGTATATACTGCTTTCCAAAAAAGTTCAAAATATCAAAGTACTAGGGGTTCTCATCTTGAACCTGTTCTGTTGCAGCTACCATTTCATATGTGGGTGTACATCTTTGTTTTATCAGGACTGGGCGCATCTTAACCCTAATTGGTATATCTATCATAGAGGCCAAGGTTGCTAACGCATTAGCAAATTAGTTGTTCTCTCTCACCAGGTACGTAAATGTTAGTCTTTTGAACCTCGGGATGAACATGTCTAAGGTTTGATGATAGACTTTCATTTTCTCCTCTTTAACCTTCCAGTCTCCATTGGCTTGAGAGATGACCAAGTTTGAATCCCCAATCACATCTAACCTTGTTGCCCCTAGTTCTAAAGTTGCTTCCAGTCTTGTAATGCATGCCTCATACTCTGCTTGGTTGTTGGATACTTTGAATCGGAGTTTGAAAGCTAAAGGGATATGGGAATCATCTAGCATTATGAGAAACACACATATCCCATCGCCAATTGATTGGACGCTCCATCAAAGCACAACTTCCAAGTGTCTTCTTCCATCTGTATGACCTCCTCATCTGGGAATGAATAATCCATATATTCTTCTCCTTCAATTGGGTGATCAGCCAAAAATTCTGCCATGGCCCTTCCTTTAACAGATTTGCGAGTGACATACTTGAGGTCGAATTTAGAAAGCAAAAGTAACCAACGAGCTAGCCTAATAGTAAACACTAGTTTCTCAAATTGATGTATTTAGGTCTGACACCAATTTGATCATGAAAACCTTAGTTCAATGAGAAAGAGGATCTTTGGGTGTTAACCATGTTTTGGATTGATGTATTTATATTATGTACTTTGGGGGCATTACAAATTGGTGTCAGACCTGACCAGGTTTGAATACCTTGAGCTTGTGGGACGTGGCTTTACCACAATAGGTTTATTATGATAAGAAAGGACGCTAGGTTATCTTGTGTGCTATATGTGTTTACGTGACTCAGGTGGTGATTGACTCTCTTTTTTGGGAGATAAAACCAACGGATCATTGCTGTCATTATATGACCCAGGTGGTCGAGGCAAACTTAACTCTCTCTTGATAGCCTTCTTGGATGATGGAAGCGGTAGGGTTCAAAATGCATTTCCTAGGATGGTTTGTGAATATTTAGATGTCTTCCTGAAGATCTCACCGAATTACCACCTCACCGGGAGGTTGAGTTTTCCATAGACTTAGTGCCAGGTATGGCACCTATCTCTATGTCACTCTATTGATTTGCACCAGCCAAGTTGGTTGTCCTGAATGAACAATTACAAGAGTTGCTAGATAAGGGTTTCATACGCCCTAGTACTTCACCGTGGGGAGCACCAGCCTCGTTTGCCAAAAGGAAAGGTGGTTCGTTGAGATTGTGTATAGATTATCACAAGCTAAATCGAGTTACGGTTAAGAATAAGTATCCCTTGCCTAGAATAGATGACCTCTTTGATAAACTCAAGGGTTCGCATGGTTTTTCAAAAATAGATTGGAGGTTGGGTTATCATCAACTACGAGTCAGGGATGAGGATATTTCTAAGATAGACTTTCATACAAGATACGATCATTATGAGTTCTTAGTTATGCCATTTGGTTTGACTAATGCACCTACTATATTTATGGCCTTGATGAACCGAATCTTTCGAGAATTTATTGATAAATTTGTAGTTGTCTTTGTAGATGACATTCTCATTTACTCGCCTTTCGAGGATGAGCACTAGGGGCACCTCTACATTGTCCTACAACTCCTTAGGGAACATCGTTTGTATGCAAAGTTTAAAAACTGTGAGTTTCGGCTGTCAGAAGTGAAGTTTTTGGCCCATATAGTTTTTGGGGACAAGGTTATAGTGGATTCTTCACAAATTGAAGCCATACAAAATTGTGATCAACCTAAAAATGCCATTGAAATCTGTAGTTTTCTGGGTTTAGCTGGTTATTACCTCTACTTTGTAAGGAATTTCTCTTCTATAGCATCACCTTTGACTAGATTAATTGAAAAGAGAGTGAAATTTGTTTGGAGCGAAGCTTGTGAGAAATCCTTTCAGGAACTAAAGCTTAGGCAGACTACTACTCCTATTCTCATTACACCTAAACATGGCTTAGGGTATATGGTGTATTGCGATGCTTTAAGGGAATGGTTGGGGTGTGTGTTGATATAAGAAGCTAGGGTGGTAGCCTACGATTCACAACAGTTAAAAACTCATGAGAGAAATTACCCGACACATGACCTAGAGCTTGCCATTGTCATATTTTCCTTGAAATTAAGGAGGCATTATCTATATGGAGAAAAAATTGAAACATTCTTCGATTATAAGAGTCTTAAGTACCTATTTTCTCAAAAAGACCTAAACTTGCGTCAATAGAGATGGATGAAATTTATGGAGGATTATGACTTTGAATAACACTATCATCCCGAAAAGGCCAACGTTGTGGCTGATGCTTTGAGTATAAAATATGTAAGTGCCATAGCTAGTCTAGTAGTGAGGGAATCGAAGACGATAGGGGATATTAGTGAATTTGACTTACAACTTTACAAGTCCTCTAAGTAGGTTATTGTGTTCACCGCTATCGCACAACCTACCCAGGTTATAAGAATTATGATGGCACAACAGGGTGATCCGGAAATGGAAACTATTTGAAAAGAATCTCCAAGAAAAAGGAAGAGAAGGGTTTGAATGTCTATGCTGATGCGAGTGTTCGCTATTTTGACCAATTGTTTGTGCTTGAACCTATTAGGGATGAAGTTCTTCGGGAATTCCACCACTTTCGCCTTGCGGTGCATCCGAGAGGCACCAAAATGCACGATGACCTTAGTCGTCAGTTTTGGTGGAGGGGTGTGAAGAAGATGTAGCATCGTTTGTGTCTAAGTGCCTAACTTGTCACCAAGTCAAGGCCGAACATGAAAGACCCATGGGATTATTATAACCTCTCCCAATTGCCGAGTGGAAATGGAAACATGTTAACATGGATTTTGTTACTGGTCTTCTAGGAACGTAAAGAGGTAATGATGCAATATGGGTAATTGTAGATCAACTTACCAAGTCAGCCCATTTTCTTGCCACGAGTGTGGGGGATTCTATTGAGTTTTTAGCCAAATTTTACATCTACGAAATTATTCGACTCCATGGGGTTCTGGTAAGCATAGTGTCTGATAGAGATTATCGTTTCACTACTAAGTTGTGGCAAGGTCTTTAGAGTGCCTTGGGAACTCAACTAAATTTTAGTACTGCCTACCACCCTCAGACTAATGGACAATCTGAGTGCACTATACAAATTCTAGAAGGCATGTTGAGAGCGTGCGTGTTAGATTTCAAAGGGTCTTGGGAGAAACACTTGCCATTAGTTGAGTTTGCTTACAATAATAGTTACTAGGCTAGCATTAAAATGGCGCCCTTTGAAGCACTTTATGGATGTCCCTGGAGATCACTTGTTTGTTGGGTTAAAGTAGGGGCTTCACCTATGCTTAGGCCTGAGTTGGTCTATGAAACCACTGAGAAAGTAGTTCTTATTCAGAAGACATTAGTTACAGCTCAAAGCTATCAGAAAAGCTATGCTGATCAGAGACGAAGGCTATTGTCCTTTGAAGTAGGGCACCATGTGTTTCTAAAAATCTCACTTGGGAGGGGGTTGATGAGGTTTGGTAGAAGCGAAAAATTATCTCCTCGATTTATTGGCCCTTTTGACATCATGGAGTGGATAGAAGAAGTTACGAATCGTCTTGCCTTAACACCACAACTCTTAGGAGTGCACAACGTATTTCATGTGTCAATGCTTCGTAAATATGAACCCGACCCTTCTCATTTCTTAGATTGGACGGATATTGAAGTTGATGACGATGCATCTTTTGAGGAAAAATCGATTCAAGTCTTAGACACCTAGGAGCAAGTGTTAAGGGGTAAGACCATTCCATTAGTCAAAGTGTTGTAGTGCCATCACGGTGTTAAGGATGCAACTTGGCAGCGTCGGGCTGAGGTCCATGAGAAATACCTAGATTTATTCAAAAATATGTGATGTATCCACTCATATTGCTTTTCAATCGATATGTGATAAACCGAGCTTAAACCATACTTTCTCATGCTTTTTCTTTCTTTTTGTTACTAGAAATGGTTTGTTGTTTGTATGGGAATTGTTAAAAACTGGTGATCATTACGTTGTTATTATATTATTGATGTGGTGTTGAGGATTGATATTACTTTGGGGGCAAAATCCCTTCAGGAGGGAGACTGTGACATTTTGCTTCAGGTGACTGCTTGAGCGATGGAAATACCATTTGAGCGAGGATTTAGTGCTCTCAATAGTTCATTTTTCAGGCTTAGGGACCGCTCAAGCAAACAAGGGGTTGATCGAGCGAAGATGGGGGGCTCCCAATATCTGGATTTGCAGACAGATATACTGAGACGTATTGTTCACTGCTCGAGCGATGAAAAAACTGCTTTAGCGGTCTACGCGATTTCAACATTTTAAAAACTACTTTCTAGATCATTCTTTCACTTTTCTTTTTGCTTTCTTCCTTCCTCTCTCTTTAAGTCTGAAAACCCTACATTTCTCTCTCTACATACCTCTAATTTTACAAAGTTCTAAGCCAAAATCACTTACAAGAAATGGAGTTTACGTAGGGATCTTGCTTTCCACCGATTGGATTTTGGTTCTACGAAGAATCCTTCTCAATAGCCTAGTTTCTTGTTTTTCCTTGAGGTAGGATTACTTTTAACTTAGTATCTCTTTATTTTGAGGATGATTATGTGGTATTGTAATGACTATAACACTTTGATTTGATGATTGTGTAAAAGTTAAGTTTTATGTTTGACCCAAAGGAGACTTTTACTAACATTTATCAAAAATTTCAAATAAATTTTTATGGATTATGTGTATTGGTGTTGGAAATTATCACATATATAGAAGGGGTAAAAGCCCAAATTCAATAAAACCCTAGTTTGGATTTGGGGAAAATATGATACTTCGATGGAATTGAATTTCAAAGCATGAATGTTGTGGATACTTAGAATTTGGAATACATTGTTAATGTGTATTGAGTTGAGATTTTGGACTTGAAACATTTATGACCCATGTATTCTATTTTCAAAACACTTTTCATGTTTTATTGAATATTTGATTACGTGGAATGTGATAAAAAGGGAGAGGTAAATTCAGTGTGAGTCTGGGTAGAGAGTCAGTTTTAAGAAAAAAGTGTTATGTCGGTGCCTATGTGGGGGAATTAAGGTTCCCAATTGCCCTGTCTTGAGCTTATCGCCGGACGAATGTGGGAAAAATATTTTTGGGTGTCCACTGGTCCTACCATATAATAGTCGAAAAAAGTGGGAAAAAGGATGGTTTTGGGTGCCCACCACCAGAGGTATTAATAGTTAGCAAATGTGGAGAACAATTCTGGTTATAAACCTTTATGTATATGTAGTATGGAGCTCCTACGAGGGACTCATGGCATATTTACCTCCTATGTTGAGAAATGTTTTCTTTTCCATGGAACAAAAAAGTAATCAGTGTGTTTGGTTTCAGTTTTCTAAATTAAGTTTTTTGAAAATTAAGTTTTTTGTTTTTTGTTTTTTGTTTTTCGTGTTTTTTTTTTTTGATTTAGTGAATATTTTTTAAAATTTAAGCCTTTTTTTTTTTTTACTTTTTTAAATGCACCTTACTTAGATGTATCTAAATAGTAAAATATTTGTGAAAAAATATTTTAAAAAATTAATAAATACACAAAAAGACAAAAAATGTACTGAATTTTTCATATTTTTTGGTATGGAATATATTTTTTAAAGATTTTTTTCACAAATATTATATTTTTTTAAGTGTATTTATGTTAAGTGTGTCTAAAAATTAAAAAAAAATGCTTAAAATATTAAAAAAATTCATTGAAAACATTAAGATACAAAAAATAAAAAGGTAGAATTTTTTAAAACTGTTTTCTGAAAACAAGAACCAAACAAGCTGAATTGTTTTCTTCTCCGCTTTATCTGTGAATATAAACTCTATGTTATGTTTGAGTCATGATGATGCGACTTGGTTGTTCAAATGATTAGATGCTCTGCTAAATGTACCTCTATTGGGCATATTGCTCATCCCTATCTAACATTTTCAGGAATTGGTGATGTGCCACCATTGCAATGAAATGAAGCGTACTCTTTTGTTTTGATTAGAGATCATGGATGTTTAAATATGGAGGCTCTGAGATTATTTGCTTAGGACCTTGACTCTATTTTTGTTTGCAACAACGTGTAGACACCCCATTTTTGACCGACCTTAAGAGTCAGATGTCATCATTTGTGTGGGCGATGATTGTGCATGTTTGCGCTCGTTTTGAGTGTCCGAAGTTCTCAGCAGAGTACCTTGTCTTTGAGCCTCTTTACACTCTGTGTTTTGGCCTTTTCTTGGACTAAATCTTGATGCCTCTTGCCTGGAGGGGAGAAGGGCCTTGCCCGCCACTTTTGGCTATTGTCGGCCACTTTTCCTTCTTGCCGGCCACTTTAGGTGGTCGGTCGGCTTGGGGAGGTGGCCGACCAGCTACCTGAAGTGGCCGACGGCCAATTTTCTCTTTTTTTAGATATTTTTAGATCTTTTGAGCCAGTTGTTGAGCACTGAGGCTCATTCTCCATACACATGTATGGCAGGATGAATACAAGCTTTATGCTTGTATTCCTATATAAGGGGAGGTACCTCCCTCTTTTGAGGGTTGAGATTTTTTAGAGAAAAAATTTCTGCCCTCTCTCTCTAGAATTCTCTCTTTATATTTTTGTGCTTGAAAGTGGGAATTTTGTACACCTTTATAAAGGGACTCTTGATCAAATGCCTCTACCTTGTTGCTGAGGTCCTTAGAGGTCCTATTTGAAGTCAAAAGCTTGGTTTTAGCTCAAGAAAGTTGTTGTTTTGCTGCCGTGCTTCAAGGGTAAGGACTCACCCCTTTCAATTTTATTTTTGCACATTGGATTGGCCACCTTTGCATGTTGTTTTTGGCCAAGTTGTCAACTGCAAAAACCTCTATTTTTGAGACTTAAAAATGGTGGTTTGAAGTATTTTTGGAGTTAGGGGTGATCCACCCTCCTTTATAGCTTGTTTGCTAAGTGTTGTATCACCTTTTAAAGCTTTTAAAACAATCTTGTTTTGGCCTTTAAACCACTGAATTCGAGGGGAATTTCTGTCACACCCAGAACTCGCCCCTAAAAGTTTGGGCATGACCACCTCAGAAAAAAGGACATAAAGCCTGATGAATATAATCTATGGGGCCTGAACGGAAGCATTTAATAGTATATAATAGCGTAAAATAATAATAATAATAAACATATCCATTGAGCTACCATTACTATGCCAGGATCGCAAACAAAACATAATGCAGATAATATACATTGTCATGCATCCGAAGATAGCTATGTACATATACATATACGCCGATCTTAACAGACAATTAGGGTACAAATTAAAACTTAGCAAAACTCCATAACTTGAACAATCAACATCTAATAGCTTTGATACTCAGGGTTTGACAACTGGGTAACAAAAGCCACAGGTGCAGGTTAAATCTCCAGGTTGAGTGCCTACAGAAATAGACATAACAGAGGGTGAGCCGGGCTCAGTGAATAGTATGAAACATAAATGCACAATTTAAACATAACACATAACAATGCATAAATAAATGCGAAGATCATGTAGTTAATCTGTTCCTGTTTTCATTTCATATGGCCTTAAGCCCAATCCTGCAACATAAACATGATGGCTATAGAGCCTTTGAAACATGGTGGCACGAGGCCCTTGAAACGTGTGGCACGAGGCCCTTGTAACTTGTGGCATAAAGCCCTTGTAACATATGGCACTAAGGCCCTTGAAACTTGTTGGCGTTAAAGCCCTTGAAAATGGCATAAAGCCCTTGGAATGGCTTAAAGCCCTTGTAACTTGTGATGGCATAAAGCCCTTGTAACGGCATAAAGCCCTTGTAACTTGTAATGGCATAAGCCCATGAAACTTGTAATGGCATAAGCCCATGAAACTTGTAATGGCATAAGCCCATGAAACTTGTAATGGCATAAGCCCATGAAACTTGTAATGGCATAAGCCCATGAAACTTGTAATGGCATAAGCCCATGAAACTTGTAATGGCATAAGCCCATGAAACTTGTAATGGCATAAGCCCATGAAACTTGTAATGGCATAAGCCCATGAAACTTGTAATGGCATAAGCCCATGTAACTTGTAATGGCATAAGCCCATGTAACTTGTAATGGCATAAGCCCATGTAACTTGTAATGGCATAAGCCCATGTAACTTGTAATGGCATAAGCCCATGTAACCTGAAACATACTTGAATTTCTAACATACGTGAACTTGTAACATACGTGGACTTGTAGCATACGTAAAACTCGTAACATACTTTAACTTGTATATACTTGAACTTGCAAACCTACTTAAACTTGTATATACTTAAATTTGCCACACAAACTTGTAACGCGCTTGAGCATATAACATACTTGACTTATAACATATGCAAACTTATAACAGGCTTAACCTATAAACTTGTAACACAACAAAATAACTTCCAATTCACATGGAGTCACATAACTTCCCAATTTTTATAGTATTCGTAGAACACTTACAAAGAATAGAGCATTAGTGATAATAATTATCAACAATAAATAACATGTACATTTTTGTACTACTACTCACAGTGTTCAGGTGCGTAGTCCGTCCTTGTAGCTAATCCTACACAAGTCACGTAATTCAAACATAATTCATCATAGTACAACATCATTTAGTTCATTAATCCTATTGGCAATTCAACATAATACAAAATAAACCCTTGAATCTCATTTTAACATTCCAAAAATCGAGTTCATGTCATCCATATACTTATTAAATTATTCTCCTAATTTTTCTTTTCCATGATAGCATGAATTTCAACATTTATAACAAGGTTCATTCGCAAATTGTAAATATAATTTCCAAATATTCCCAAATTCCAATTAAACTTGAACACATCTAATTCAATGTCTCAATTTCATTACTCTACTTTCAATTTGGGCCAATTCATTGGTTATCATCTTTAAACAACCTAGCGTTTCAAGGAAAAAGAGGATTTTTAACAAAAATCAAACTTCTTAAATCATCACTCCTAATTCCAATTTTCCAAATGATTTTACATCTAGTATTCTCAATCCATCACTTAAACCCATCAATTTAATTCCCAACATCACAAACCTTAAAACCCCCAATATTCAAACCCAAAATTCCCAAAATCTCATAATTTCTTCTATATACATAACATTAATGAAAATTGAACCATTATACAATGAAAATACCTCAAATCTATCTATGGATGTAAATATTGAAGAGTATTAAAACCCTTACCTCAAGAATCAAACAAAGGAGCAAGGATTGAGAAGAATCCTCCAAAATCTCGAAATTCCAACCGGTAGAACATAATAATCTTCATGCTTCTTCACTTTTTTGATGGATGATCTTGATCAAAACAAAGAGAAATGGAAGGTTTTGGAGATTAAGGACCTAGGGTTTTCGGACCTAGGGGAGAGGGATGAAGAGGGGAAAAGGAAAATGTGAGAAATGATCCAAAAAATCTCATTTTAAGCTGCTGTCCCGTAATTCCCGCTCGAGCGGAGGAATTCCCGCTCGAGCGTACCTGTTTTCAGCACAGATTTCGAAACTTTGAACAGGTATAACTCTCCCATCCGGACTCCGTTTCAGGTCGTTCTTGTGTCCAAATTGAATCCCCGGAAATAAGATTTCCAATGGTTCTAACCCCACATCCAAATTCAAAATGTAGAAAAAGAAAATGACAAAAGAGTGACGGATGGTCGCAGACAATCTATTCTAATTAAAGCTTTTGGTCCAATCTTACTTTACCATCATATTACCACCTCAAACAATACTCCAAAATAAAATAAGAAGATTCTAAATACACCACTACAATGTCAAGGGAAATCTTACTTCTCACGCTCGAGCGTCGCTTCAACCGCTCGAGCGCGCACAGACCAAAAAAGTAGTCTGCTCGAGCGTCAACTTCTCCGCTCGAGCGGAGATCCACCACTCCCAGAATCTCAGGCCATCTGCAAAATTGCTGAGAACCCCAAAAGTCCGCTCGAGCGTCAAATCCTCCGCTCGAGCGGAGGGAAAAATTCTGGGTCGTCACAATTTCAGTGGTAGAAAATTTGTTTTGAGGTCCAAAATGGGAGGGGATGGCTTCCTCTCCTTGTCTCTCTATGCCATGCCTTATTGGCACTACAAAGTAGCATCTTTTTATGGCTTATGTTAGCTTAGTTCAAGCACGTTTTTGGCCATATTTTAACATGTTATAACTCTGTTTTTGTCTGGTTGGAGCATCTCATGTTTGCTTCTTACACTCGTAGTGCAATCTTGTTCACTAGCCTAGTGTGCTTGGTGATTTAGCCATCATTCTAGCATGTGTTGGCTCCCCTCCAGCATGTTTTTGGCCTTGCTTTGACATTCTTAGACTCTATTTTGAGTGGCTCTGATCCCTTAAGACTTGCTTTGTATAGCTATAGTGTAGTTGGCCTTTACTAGCTTTGTGTTTCAAGGCTCTTGCCATGCTTTATTTGAGTTATTTGTATGATATGGCATCATCTAGCATGTGATTTTAGAGCATATTCCTCTATCAAGCTCTCACATATATCACTCTTTAAATGTTTTTGAGAGTTGTGCCTTGTGCCTTATGCCTTGCTTGTTAGCCAATTTGCACGCATGATTTTCTTGCCTTTTAAGATTCAATCTCAGCATGATTTAGCCTTTGTTTTGGCATGCATTAACTCTGTTTTGAGTTGGTTTGGGCCCTTTGAGGCTTGTGTTGTAAGGTTGTGGTACAACCCCTTCCATTAGCTTAATTAGTTAAGCCTTTAAACATGCATTACATGAGTTGTTTGCATGATCTTGAGTCACTTAGCATATTATTTCAGTGCTGAAATATATGTCATTGCACTCTATTGTTTCAATCTTTCATTCGCTTTGAAAGTAGTCTTGAGCCCCTTGACGGCTTGAATGTGGAATTGAGGTTCGCATACCTAATGGTTTTAATCCTCCCTTGAGGATTTCTACTAACTAACGGCATGAAACTTCTTTCATGCTCAAGGCACTTGTGGTTTAGACCATCTTTCCAATTAGTGGACTTTTCGCATTGAGCTTAACGGGTCAATGGACTAATCAGTAATCTAAAATGTGTAAACAAAATGAGAAAAGTAAAGCATGTGCAAGATAAGCATTTGTGTTGCATTGCATGTGTTTGGATCGGACATTAATCCAAACTCAAGGAATATGGGACGTTTCATACTCAAAGTGATGAAACGTCTCACATTTCTCGGTCACCGTCACCTTTGATCACGCATGATAGGGTGGTTGGCCTTTGAGTTTTATATGTGCATTCATTGAGCTTGTACAAGGTTGGTTTTTTGGCCATCATGCATGAAAATGCTTGATTGGTGGCTTGAGAGCCAAATGCCATACTCCTTTGGTTTGATTTTTAAGGGCTCGTTTGGGAAACGATGGATTTAGTTAAAAAAGTTAAAAAGTTATTAAAAATTTAAAAAGTTAATAATTTATATTAAAATGTTAGAAAATTTTTTTTTTTATTTTTTGTACATTTTTTCATAAAAAATTAAAAAATTATTCCACACATATTAATTTTTTTTACATTTTATTTCAGTTAAAAAGTTAAAAAATTACTAAAACAATCTGTTTCCAAATGAGGCCTAAGCTTTTTTTTATCTTATTTTTATTTTTTTAAGTTATATTATTTTTTTTTATTTTTTTATATATTTTTTTAAAAAAATTAAAAAATACACTTATTTATATCATCTCAAATAACTTCAATTAGAAAGTATTCAGTGTGCTTAGTTTCAGCTTTTTGAATTAAATTTTTTGACAATTAAATTTTTTATTTTTCATATTTTTTATTTTCAGTGAATATTTTTTAATTTTTAAGTATTTTTTTTTTACTTTTTTAGATGTACCTTATTTATGGCTCTTTTGGAAAGTGAGTTAAAAACCACTATCCAGCTTTTAAGTCATTTCGAGTCACACAATCTCTCACATTTTTTACAATTTTTTTTAAAAAAAATAAAAAAAAAGTCAAAAAACTAACTTTTAATCATCTTTTCAAAATAACCCTCAGATATATTTAAATAGTAAAATATTTGTGAAAAAATACTTTAAAAAATTAATAAATATACAAAAATATGAAAAATATATTAAATTGTTGTATATATATATATTGTAATTTTGATATTTTGTATTTTTTAAAGATTTTTTTCACAAATATTATACTAAGTGTATTTATGTTAGGTGTGTCTAAAAATTAAAAAAAAATGCTTAAAATATTAAAAAAATTCATTGAAAACATTAAGATACAAAAAATAAAAAGGTAGAATTTTTTAAAACTGTTTTCTGAAAACAAGAACCAAACAAGCTGAATTGTTTTCTTCTCCGCTTTATCTGTGAATATAAACTCTATGTTATGTTTGAGTCATGATGATGCGACTTGGATGTACAAATGATTAGATGCTCTGCTAAATGTACCTCTATTGGGCATATTGCTCATCCCTATCTAACATTTTCAGGAATTGGTGATGTGCCACCATTGCAATGAAATGAAGCATACTCTTTTGTTTTGATTAGAGATCATGGATGTTTAAATATGGAAGCTCTGAGATTATTTTCTTAGGACCTTGACTCCATTTTTGTTTGCAACAAGGTGTAGACACCCCATTTTTGACAGACCTTAAGATTCAGATGTCATCGTTTGTGCGCGCGATGATTGCGCATGTTTGCGCTCGTTTTGAGTGTCTGAAGTTCTCAACAGAGTACCTTGTCTTTGAGCCTCTTTGCACTCTGTGTTTTGGCCTTTTCTTGGACCAAATCTTGATGCCTCTTGCTTGGAGGGGAGAAGGGCCTTGCCGGCCACTTATGGCTATTGTTGGCCACTTTTCCTTCTTTCCAGCCACTTTAGGTGGTCGGTCGGCTAGAGAAGGTGGCCAGCCGGCCACTTGAAGTGGCCGACGGCCAATTTTCTCATTTTTTAAATATTTTCAGATCTTTTGAGCCAGCTGTTGAGCACTGAGGCTCATCCTCCATACACATGTATGGAAGGATGAATACAAGCTTTATGCTTGTATTTCTATATAAGGGGAGGTACCTCCCCCTTTTGAGGGGTTAAGATTTTTCAGAGAAAAAAATTTCCTTCCTCTCTCTCTAGAATTCTCTCTTTATATTTTTGTGCTTGAAAGTGGGAATTCTCTACACCTTTACAAAGGGACTCTTGATCAAATGCCTCTAACTTGTTGCTGAGGTCCTTGGAGGTCCTATTTGAAGTCAAAAGCTTGGTTTTAGCTCAAGAAAGTTGTTGTTTTGCTGTTGTGCTTCAAGGGTAACGACTCACCCCTTTTAAGTTTATTTTTGCACATTGGATTGGCCACCTTTGCATGTTGTTTTTGGCCAAGTTGTCAACCGCAAAAACCTCTATTTTTGAGACTTAAAAATGGTGGTTTAAAGTATTTTTGGAGTTAGGGGTGATCCACCCTCCTTTATAGCTTGTTTGCTAAATGTTGTATCACCTTTTAAAGCTTTTAAAACAATCTTGTTTTGGCCTTTAAACCACTGAATTCCAGAGGAATTTCAGTGGTAGAAGATTTGTTTTGAGGTCCAAGATGGGAGGGGATGGCCTCCTCTCCTTGTCTCTCTATGCCATGCCTTATTGGCATTGCAAAGTAGCATCTTTTTATGGCTTATGTTAGCTTAGTTCAAGCATGTTTTTGGCCATATTTTAATATGTTATAACTCT